TTATAAATATAACACAATTTTTCTAAAAGTTTTATATTTTAAAATATAGATTTATACAATGTAATTACATAGAAGCAATTTTTCATATAAACTAAACGTATAGGTATGTACAACTAAATAAATCATCATTCAAATATGTTTTCAAAATAATTACAAACTATTTTAAAGCATTTTGAGTAACTTATTTTGTTACTATCACTACAGGCACTCTTGTTAGTTTAACGTTTCAATATGCAATCATATTTTAAAATCCTTTTGGTCATCCAATGATTCTATCTAAGCCAACAGCTTCCTGAAGATTTGTATTAAAATAAATTCACGATATAAACGTTTTTGGTTGCATAGATCTAATTCCATTTATGTGTAGGTATATCTAAAATTATTTCAAAACTAAGTGCCTGAAAATGAATCATACATTGTACTATTATTGCATAAAATAGAACTTTGGTACATTGAAACCTTCCTTAATAGACATCTCTATAAATAATAGCTTCTATTGGACGTACAATTATTTTTATTTTGCAAAAGTTATATAATATTTAAAACATTGATGTCTCATTTGGTGACTGAGTTGAGCCCTGCAGACTTTATATTCTGTAGGTACTACGATTATAAAGAACTTTTAGGTATCTTATTATCATCAAAGAGTTTAATAGCATGACAATTGTATAGAAACGTTAATAAAATTTGATATACATTACATATAAGTACTTGGTATATAACATCACATTGATAGCTACTATAGTTTCGAAAATATACAAAAGCAGTTACTTAATATTAATAATTTTAGTGATTCTTTTTGAATCACRGAAATTGTGAAGGTAATAAACGATTAATTTAAGTCATTGTCTTAAAAAAACTCAAGTTATCTTAATCATTTCCTAGGGAATGTAATTATTTTATAAATTATCATCGTTGCCAGTAACATATTATCTATAAAAWTATAAAAGTATACAATGTATATTATATGATATTTATATTCGGTATATTGGCGACAGCTTTTTAATAGATACTTTTAAAAAAGTATTCANTTGTGAAATGTCCTATTTAAGTCTTGAAAAGTAGTATATCGTACAGTATTTTGATATCACATATTATGTACAATGTGCATGGCCATATTAATTATAGATTATATTATTATGACTATAGTTACACTATATATATATTATGATATTATATCCTATGAGTTTATTTATTTTTTATTATAACTTATGAATAYAAAATATAAGCGAAAAAATCAATCTAATTGCGTTCTTAAAATTATTAATCTTTTGACTTTTCTAACAATGAATGTAATTCATTTTTTTTTTTTTTTATTTCAACCATTCTACTAATCTGGTACAATAAGTAATAAGCATATAAGTGATAAGCGAGAATGAAGTACCATCCTGTAATGACCGCACTTTGGCATAATTTATGAGCTTATGGTGCTTAAATTAAATTAGGTCTCAAGGCCATAGTAGTCAGTACCTTCTGCGAGGGTTTTCGGGAATATATATTTAAAATTGAATCATATTATTTTTATAAATCTGTTGTTTATAAAGATCTTAGTTTTTGGAATAAAATAATTTTGATTGCTTTAGTATTAATTGTATTTATAATTATATTATAATAAATATAATGTAGTTTTATTTAAATTTTTTMACAGATATTGCAAGTTTCATACTTTATTTATTGCACAGTTTTTGTAGACTTTGCCGATTCAGGCCCTGGAAAGTCGTGGATAAAACCTCGACTACAACAGAACAAGAAAATAAGAGATTTCATATTTGTTAGCCTAGTATTTCCAGTAACAATTGTGAGTATTACTTATTTCACTTATCAATTAAAATCTAGTACGGAATTTAATGACCATTTYTTMTTTTTACTAAAAATGTATATTCATGTGTTTAATTATGATGCTTATATATTATATGCATTCCTAAAAAATATTCGGAATAATTTTAGATTCTGAGCGGAGCGATGAATGTATTGATTTTACCATGATGTGTTTTTTTTTTGTGTCTGTCATCACGTTTTGAGGCAGTAAAAATGCTTCGATTTTTGACTTCAGTACCTCG